GCCGGTGATATCTGTCATAACTGTCACAAATCTCCAGCCCCAACAAAAACGATGCAAAAAAAAATGTGCGAAAAAGTTTTTGACAGACCTCATTTAGAATCCAGTAGATGTAACTTTCCAGTGGAAGTGGTGGTGGTTGTAAATCAGACGAGAAGACTGAGTGCAGCGCAGTCAAGAGGCGTTCACCGGCACAAACAAACGGAATACGAGTAATAAGACAAATGCATTTGGCCATGTAAAGACGCGAGGAACCATAATCATAGTAGGAAGTTCGCTTGGATCGGTCCTGAAAAAAAAAAAAAAAAAACTCATAAAATTAAAAAACAAAAACCGAAATCTGCTTCACATTTCACTTTTTTCTTCAGCGGGATGGACTCGAAAAAAGTTCTGATAACAGTCTGCTAAGAACAATCATCGTCAAATAAGGCAGCTGAAGGTTCTCAATTTGTAGAGTAACTGTCTTTTTAAAAATAGCTGACAATGAAGATCTCAATTCAGGCGGCCTACATTCTCAAGTTTTTAAGCATATGAATCGATAAAACTTTTTAAAAAGAAATCTGCGAAATTTTCCTAAAGCCGACACATTCAGGATGCTATTTTTATGTGTTCCTTCAGAGAATTTTTAGAAAGCAAACATGAATTACGTGTTAATCGCTCGAACATACTACGTATGCCCTGCTGATATAAATTAGTCGTACACATGACGTACGGCTGCAAAACCAGTCAACGATCAAAGAAGGGCTAACAGTGGCTCTGTTCGAGAGAGGGATGAAAAGTGGGGTGCTTGAAGCGTTCCCGACTATAGCGGTCAAATCAGCGACTAAAAAGCGTTATTTCGATTGTGCAAGAAAGCGAAATCCGATGAGCTGGGCATGTTGCTGGTTAAGATGACAACCAAGGGACTCAAGCAATTGCAAGTGATATCCGCAACAAGACAGTGACCATCCGAATGGCCACACAAAGATAGCGTACAGATATCGAACAAACTGTGCATACTGTTTGGAAGTAGGCAGCCCAGGATCGAGACTCGGTGTTTCGAAGCATCTCAATAACATCACTAGAAGGGGATCCCCCGATTATCCTTGCAATTCTTTCATGACATATAGCTCCAACAATGCTCAAAAACTAAAACTCAGACATAATGCTGCTGCAGTCAGTCACGTTAATACTCTATAATTAGGTATTTATGAATACAAACAATAAAATAATTGGCCACCGCACTGACTGTCGATGCAACGATGCGTTTTTGCACAGTTCCTCGCAGATTTTTGTCGCTGACGGCAC